GTTACCATTTCCAATCATTTTCCCTCAAGTTTTGATATCATTAGTAAACAGAGTTATCATTTTTACTCAATAACCCTATAACCCAATTTTTAAGAATCTAGAGGCATATGACAGCCCTGTTCTTGGGTTAGTAGCTCTGGTTGCTACAAGGATACTAGACCAAAACAAAATCTTTAAGCCAGCCTGGGCATTTTGCCATGTCCCAAGCAGTGTATTATTAACTCTTTCCTGGGAGACTGTGCTTCTTCTTGTTCTAGAGCTTTCAGGTATGCTGTTAAGTCTCTAGTGTGAGATTTCTCCAACTTATTTATGTGGGCATTTAGTGCTATGAATTTCCCTCTTAGTACTGCTTTCATAGTGTCCCATAAATTTGGATATGTGGTGTCTTCATTTTCATTGATCTCTAGGAAGTCTTTAATTTCTTTCTTTATTTCTTCCTTAACCCATTGGTGATTCAGTTGGGTATTATTCAGTTTCCATGAGATTGCAGGTTTTCTGTAGTTTTTGTTGTTGTTGAAATCCAACTTTAGACCATGGTGGTCTGATAGAACACAGGAGGTTATTCCAATTCTTTTGTATCTGTTTAGATTTGTTTTGTGGCCAAGTATGTGGTCAATTTTAGAGAAGGTTCCATGGGGTGCTGAGAAGAAGGTATATTCTTTTTTGTTAGGATGGAATGTTCTGTAGATATCGATTAAGTCCATTTGAGTCATGACATCAGTTAAGTCCTTTATTTCTCTGTTAAGTTTCAATTTGGGAGATCTGTCCAGTGGTGAAAGTGGGGTGTTGAGGTTTCCCACTATTAATGTGTGGGGTTTTATATGTGATTTAAGCTTTAGTAATGTTTCTTTTACATATGTGGGTGCCCTTGTGTTTGGGGCATAAATATTCAGAATTGAGACTTCATCTTGGTGGATCTTTCCTGTGATGAGTATGTAATGCCCTTCTTGATCTCTTTTGATTGATTTTAGTTTGAAGTCTATTTTGCTGGATATCAGGATGGCTACACCCGCTTGTTTCTTAAGACCGTTTGATTGGAAAGTCTTTTCCCAGCCTTTTATTTTTAGGTAGTGTCTATCTTCGAATTTGAGATGTGTTTCTTGTATGCAGCAGAAAGATGGGTCCTGCTTTCGTATCCATTCTGTAAGCCTATGTCTTTTTATAGGTGAATTAAGTCCATTGATATTGAGGGAAATTAATGACCAGTGATTGTTCATTCCTCTTATTTTTTGGTGGTGATGTGTGGGTACTTCTATACTTGGGGTTTACTGCTGTGGCTTTATCTGTTGCCTGTGTTTTCGAGGGTGTATCTGACTTCCTTAGGTTGGAATTTTCCTTCTAGTGCTTTCTGTAGGCCTGGGTTTGTGGATAAGTATTGTTTAAATCTGGCTTTGTCATGGAATGTCTTGTTCACTCCATCTATGGTGATTGAAAGTTTTGCTGGGTATATTAGTCTAGGCTGACATCCATGGTCTCTTAGTGTCTGCATTACATCTGTCCAGGTCCTTCTGGCTTTCAAAGTCTCCATTGAGAAATCGGGTGTTATTCTGATGGGTTTGCCTTTATATGTCACTTGGCCTTTTTCCTTTGCTGCTCTTAATATTCTTTCTTTATTCTGTACGTTTAGTTGTTTAACTATTATGTGGCGAGGGGACTTTTTTTGGGGGTCTAGTCTGTTTGGTGTTCTATAAGCTTCTTGTATCTTCATAGGCATTTCCTTCTTTAAGTTGGGAAAGTTTTCTTCTATGATCTTGTTGAATATATTTTCTGTGCCCTTGAGTTGGTATTCTTCTCCTTCTTCGACCCCTATTATTCTTAGGTTTGGTCTTTTCATGGTGTCCCAAATTTCTTGGACATTTTGGTTCATGACTTTGTTGGCTTTAGTGTTTTCTTTGACTGATGAATGTATTTCTTCTACTGTATCTTCAACGCTAGAGATCCTCTCTTCCATCTCTTGCATTCTGTTGATTATACTTGCATCTGAAGTTCCCAATCGTTTTCTCAGATTTTCTATTTCCAGCATTCCCTCTGTTTGTGTCTTCTTCATTTTTTCTATTTCCCTTTTCAGGTCTTGGACTGTTTCCTTCATTTGTTTCATTGATTTTTCTTGATTTTCTCTCAGTATTTTATTGTTTTCTTCCAGGACTTTATTGATTTCTTCTAATTTGTTTGCCCTTTCCTCTAGTTGTTTACAGCGTTCTTCACATTTTTTTGTCTTTTCCTCTACACAAGCCTCTAGCTTCTTCATGATGTCATTCATAAGGCTGTTTTCTTCTGCTTCTTCCAATTTCTGATGTTCAGGTCTAGGTGTTGGAGGAGGGCTAGGGCCTGGTGATGCTGTATTGCTATTCATTTTGTTGTCTATGTTTCTGCCTTGACGTCTGCCCATCTCCTTGTGGTTCGTTACTGGCCTTATCCGCACACTTGGTTCAGCCAGACCAGTGTTCCAAAAGGGAAGTCCGGAGCAAGATGGGAGCTGGGGGCCGACCTCTAAGTCTCAGGAAGAGGCTTGGGGCTCAGGCGGATGGGCGTGGGGGCAGGGCGTGGAGACTGCAGGGCCTGCCAGGGGTCTTGGAGAAGGGGATCCTTCCCGGTGGGGCTAGTAGGGAACCTGCCCGGTGGCCAGAACCTGGGGCCAAGTTGGGTAGGTCTTCCCTGGAGTGGCTGGTGCCCAGGGATGGGGTCTGGGACAAGGAAGGGTACTCACCAGTTTTCCAAAAGGGAAGTCCGGAGCAAGATGGGAGCTGGGGGCCGGCCTCTAAGTCTCAGGAAGAGGCTTGGGGCTCAGGCGGATGGGCGTGGGGGCAGGGCGTGGAGACTGCAGGGCCTGCCAGGGGTCTTGGAGAAGGGGATCCTTCCCGGTGGGGCTAGCAGGGAACCTGCCCGGTGGCCAGAACCTGGGGCCAAGTTGGGCAGGTCTTCCCTGGAGTGGCTGGTGCCCAGGGATGGGGTCTGGGGCAAGGAAGGGCACTCACCAGTTTTCCAAAAGTGAAGTCCGGAGCAAGATGGGAGCTGGGGGCCAGCCTCTAAGTCTCAGGAAGAGGTTTGGGGCTCAGAGGGATGGGAGTGGGGGCAGGGCGTGGAGACTGCAGGGTCTGCCAGGGGTCTTGGAGAAGGGGATCCTTCCCGGTGGGGCTAGCAGGGAACCTGCCCGGTGGCCAGAACCTGGGGCCAAGTTGGGCAGGTCTTCCCTGGAGTGGCTGGTGCCCAGGGATGGGGTCTGGGGCAAGGAAGGGTACTCACCAGTTTTCCAAAAGGGAAGTCCGGAGCAAGATGGGAGCTGGGGGCCGGCCTCTAAGTCTCAGGAAGAGGCTTGGGGCTCAGGCGGATGGGCATGGGGGCAGGGCGTGGAGACTGCAGGGCCTGCCAGGGGTCTTGGAGAAGGGGATCCTTCCCGGTGAGGCTAGCAGGGAACCTGCCCGGTGGCCAGAACCTGGGGCCAAGTTGGGCAGGTCTTCCCTGGAGTGGCTGGTGCCCAGGGATGGGGTCTGGGGCAAGGAAGGGCACTCACCAGTTTTCCAAAAGGGAAGTCCGGAGCAAGATGGGAGCTGGGGGCCGGCCTCTAAGTCTCAGGAAGAGGCTTGGGGCTCAGGGGGATGGGAGTGGGTGCAGGGCGTGGAGACTGCAGGGTCTGCCAGGGGTCTTGGAGAAGGGGATCCTTCCCAGTGGGGCTAGCAGGGAACCTGCCCGGTGGCCAGAACCTGGGGCCAAGTTGGGCAGGTCTTCCCTGGAGTGGCTGGTGCCCAGGGATGGGGTCTGGGGCAAGGAAGGGTACTCACCAGTTTTCCAAAAGGGAAGTCTGGAGCAAGATGGGAGCTGGGGGCCGGCCTCTAAGTCTCAGGAAGAGGCTTGGGGCTCAGGCGGATGGGCGTGGGGGCAGGGCGTGGAGACTGCAGGGCCTGCCAGGGGTCTTGGAGAAGGGGATCCTTCCCGGTGGGGCTAGCAGGGAACCTGCCCGGTGGCCAGAACCTGGGGCCAAGTTGGGCAGGTCTTCCCTGGAGTGGCTGGTGCCCAGGGATGGGGTCTGGGGCAAGGAAGGGCACTCACCAGTTTTCCAAAAGTGAAGTCCGGAGCAAGATGGGAGCTGGGGGCCCGTATTATTAACTCTTAAAGGTCAGAGTGCCCAAGAAAAGTCCTCAGGCCAAAGCAGCTGCAATTACTATTTAAATTCTGGTATAATACAATACTTATATTTTATATCTTTATAGATTTTGTTTATATGTCTAATCCTGGCATTCTGTTGTTCCTTTGTCATATGACACCACAGTAGCTCCACATGTGCTAATTTTTCTAAGAAAGGGAGATCCTGACATCTTATTCTTTTATCGTCGTTTTACATCATTCTTTGCCCAACAATATAAGTCTCTGTATTGGGCAGAGGTAACTTCAGCTAATCTAACTTTGTTGCTGTATATGCCACATAGTTGCCTGAGTGTATAGTGGGAAGAGGCTTGCAGTATGATCCGTGGCCAACTCCTCCATCCCATTGAATCTTGTTGACCTTTTAAAGTGTATTTTGTTTTGATTATCTTGTTCCTGAGTAATTACAGGGGTAGATATTTCAAGAATATTCCAAAGCCTCATAAAGAGACCTCTAGTTTCTTTATGAGTGTCACAGCCTCCAAGCAATAAAGAAGACCTTCAAGTAGATAAGGATATCTCCCTAAAAGCAGGAGGGGTAGTATGTTCTGAACTTTTCAAGAATTATAGTTACAATATCTAGTCTATTTATAATATCTAGTCTATTTGTATTTGGCAAAATTAAAGAAGATATCCTATCTATCCTATATTTGTGAGTCTAAGGTTTTATATGTAACTTATCTTTTTATCATAACTAAGGAAATTATAACTATCTAGTCTTCAACTACATCAAAGACCTCAGAAGGATATACTATTACCTGAGAAATAGGAGAAGGATGTAAGCAACTTTCGAGAGTCTTTCAAGAGTAGACAGAGACAGCTGGCAGCCTGGACAGTCATCCAAAGTTCCTCTGTAAAGTTGGGGCACCTGTCTTCAGCCCACAGGCCTAGAGTCTCTCAGTTACTTTTCTCTGTGTCCTGTAGAATGTCTGGCAGTTTCCTCTGAGAAGCAGGAACCTGAAGGACCATTTTGCCAAGCAAAGTTCAATGGTCACCTTCCTATGGGTCCTGCATGTCCAGTCGATACATCATTTTGCAAAGCAGTCCAGGCAATAACAGTTTCTTGCCCAAATGGCTATTTTTGCCAAGAAGAAGATAAGCTCCATATAGAGTGTCTTCATTGCTCATCCTCCTCTCTGAAGTAAATTGGTGCTGCCAGGAGCAGACATGTCTCAATGTCTAGAAAGTCTAAATTTTTTTTTCCTGCCTCAAGTTTATTTGTAAAAACAGCATGGGGTCCTGATCATCTGCAAATAGTGTGTAGGTGTGTTACACCAGTCCATCTGTCTGGCAGACAGGAACCTTTTCTATGGGGCCTTCACAGGGGCATGGGCACCTTTGGGAGCCTGAGCTGGAGCTGAGGCCTCTGCCTTGGTTTGAGCCTTGGGCTTTGTAGCTTCTAATCTGCTTCCCGAGCTTGGGGTGAGCGATGAAAGCGAGATGGCTGAGCTTGCGGCTGGGGCCCTTTGGCATCTTGGGCTTAACCGCCTTGGGCTTCACAAGGGCCTTGATGGCCTCTGCACGCGCACTCACTGCCTTTGCGTTGTTGGCCTGCATCTTCTTCAGGCCTTTCTTGTTGTGCTTCTTGGCAAAGTGCATGTTCCTCAGGAACTTGGGGTCCACCCCCTTAATAGATTCGTATCTTTGTGACCGGGGTTTCTTGATACCATTTCTGTGCCATTTTCGAGATTGGTTGTATGTGGTGTGGTTCTTGGACTTGGCCATGTCAGAACGGTAACCGGTGGCTCAAAAGTCTAAATTTTTTAAACATTTTAAATGTCATATTCTATAGGTCTTTGAAGTGTTTGAAGATTACCTACCTAATTGAATTATATCTATGTATACCTAGAAAACTTAACATGACTATAGGTTTGACTATCATAGAAGACTAATTATTAATCTATATTTTTTAATTATCCATTACAATCTAAATGAGATACATAAACATAATACCTCAAACAAGAGTAGAAATATATATATACAGTATAACAAAATTAAGTTTATGCACAGGCCAGTGGGGTCTTCAATGGGGACTGGAAGGGAGGGCCGGTGAATGAGAGGGACAAGAGACACATAGAATGAGAGCAAGACAGGATGTCTGATCAAGCTCCAAATTTTTATTTTCCTCTTAAGGCATATATAGGCAGGGGCAAAGAGGGATGCAAGCAGGGAGGGGACTTTAATCATGGGTTGTTCAGCCAGCAGGGAATGTTGCTATGGGGATTAGCTATCTATTCTTGCCTAACTGCCTAACTGCAGCGCTGTCACCTGGTTTCTGAGAAGAGGTTCTGGTATTTGTGAGAAGAGGTTCTGGTGCTATGGAGACTTAAGCAAGGCCTAGATCTAGGAAAAGAGGAGAGAAGCCCAAATATGGCAGCATGTGTGTCAAGGGTCGCTTAGGCTTATGGCTCCCGTCAAGTTTAAACTTGTATCAATAAGCTAAAACCCAAAGCAATGTAAAACATTTCTAAACAAGTTGTTGCTCTTTAAAAGTAGGTTCGTTAATCTACCCTTTCATCTTATCATATCTATACTTTCCCCTTTTCATCTTTAGAAAGAGATTGCATTTATAATCAACCTGTTTTAAATAATTTAAATTTAATTGGTTTTGCTCTGTCCCACACCAGAGGGCTCTTCTGATATGAGACTGAAGAATCTCTCAACCTTTTCTTTTAGCAATGTGCTTGGGTTTAGAGAAGGAATGAGCCAATTCCATCTCCAAAGCCAGCTTGGTATATTTGGGAATTTGGGTGTAGCTTCTCATACAACTTCCTGCTGGATGAGGGCACTGTATTCTTATGGGGACACAAAGAAAATTTTAGTATTATGGAGTAGTCCGTGAGACTGTATTGTCTGGGCCAGTTGCCTTGAAACTGTTCTGGATGTTGGATCATCTGGGCCATGGTGTCATCAGAGATCTTTCAGGGGGTCTTGGCTGGTCAAACCTGATGCATCTTAACCTGGAACAAATCTATAGCCTCTTGCTTCCTGTGGAAACAAATGCAGAGCCTCCTTTCCAAAGCAACATATCCTTAGATCCAAATTTTGAAGTCAAGATACCTTTAAAATACATATATTGGCTTAACTCAACAGCTTTTACAATCAAATGTCTTTCTGCAGTTAAAAATCCCAAAGACAGTATAATCCAGACTCTCTGTGTGATTTCCATCTTTACATGGCTTATTTTTTATATTACCTTTACTGTCTCTTTAAAGATTTTATTTTTTAAAACTGTTCCTTTATATAACTCTCTATATTCATTTTCGTCTCTCTTCCAAGCCTACGTATATTTTTACACACACTGTAAACCATTTAAAGTCTTGTTCCATCTGAATCTGCCGTATTGTGAATCTATTGCTTTAAACTACAGCATTACTGTGGGAGCCCGTTCTCGGGTTCCTCGTGGCTTTACCCAGCAGAGGTATGATAGAGGATGATTAGGACCATGGGCCTGAGTGCAGGTGTCTGAGATGGTCTGCACTTGGCTGTGCTGGGGGAGGAGGTCTTTTGCTCCACCCCTTGGCATCTCTATAAATACCCTGGGGCAGAGACAGTCGGGCCGTTGGAATAGGTTCCAGGCCCTCTCGAGGCTATCCTTTATTTTCTATCTGTTTATCTCCACAAGATTCTCCGCAATAAATCCTTCTATCTAATATTTCCTACTGCTCGCACTCAAGAAAACTCTGGGGAGCTGTGGGGTTGGTGGGTAAACACCCCACACATTACTAGGACTGAAATGGCAGCTTTAGCTGCTGGCTCCAACCACCTCAGTTTTCCAACATGGCCATGGTACATTTACCTCCAGCTCTGACTCTGGGAGCCATGTGTACCACCAACTCTCAGAAGCAGTGGGTCTATGCCTCTATTAAAGCAGCGTGTAGCCCAGAAACCTATTTTTTTTAATCTGTACTAGCAAAAGCTATATCCACCATGCAGCACCGTACTGCACAGCTTGGAGACACCTCTGTGTAACATGGCATAGGTCAAGCCTACACTCCACAAAACCTCCATAGAGTAGCTCAAGCCCACATGTGGCAGTGTCTCGCCACCCTCATGAGACATGAAGCAGGAACCTGTTTTTGGCTCTATTTAGAATTGCTTATTAAGTATTCTCAGGTTTCAGGTGGAAACTTGAGCCATTGGGCACCATTTATACCTGAAAGTTTTTCTGTTTCCCGGCTGGCTGGCGGTTGGGACAAATCTCTCTCACCTGCAACTGCAGCTGCTTATAAAATAATCACTCAGAAGTGCTGTGGGATGGTCTGTATGTGCTCTGATTGGTCAATGAATAAAACACTGATTGGCCAGTGGCCAGGCAGGAAGTATAGGGAGGACTAACAGAGAGGAGAATTGAGAGAACAGGAAGGTGGAAGGAAGACACTGCCAGCCGCTGCCGTGACAAGCAGCATGTGAAGATGCCAGTAAGCCACGAGGCAAGGTATAGATTTATAAATATGGATTAATTTAAGCTATAAGAACAGTTAGCAAGAAGCCTGGCACAGCCATACAGTTTGTAAACAATATAAGTCTCTGTGTTTACTTGGTTGGGTCTGAGCGGCTGTGGGACTGGCGGGTGACAGAGATTTGTCCTGACTGTGGGCCAGGCAGGAAAACTCTAGCTACACAGAAGCTTATATTAATTAAAACTGCCTGGCCATTATCTCAGGCCTACCATTAACTGGCTTACATTTAAACTCAGCCCATTTCTGTTAATCTATATGTCACCAAGTGTTCTGCTCCCTGGATGGCAGGCTGGCAACCCAGCTTCTCTTGTCTGCTTATCCTGCCTATACTTGCTGCCTGGCCACTGGCCAATCAGCATTTTATTTATCAACCAATCAGAGCTTTACACATTCACAGCATACAGAGTGACATCACCCATCAGCATAGAGAAAAGGAAAGAAATCTGAAGCAACTTTTCATATACTTTAAATCACTTTCTCAGACCCATACCTTAAATCACTCTCTCAGATCCTTACAACTTAAGCTTTCATATCCTCAGACCTCCTTAGACCTTTATAACTTACATTTACAGACTTTCACAACTAAGCTTTTACAACCTCACACCTTCATGACTTGTATTTACATACCTTAAAACATTTTATTAGACTCTTACAATTTCAGACCTTTATAACTTGGTGATAGGGAAAGGTAGGGGGTTGTATAAAGGAGGTAGGGTTAGTTCACTGACATACATGGTAGATTTGGGTTAGATTCTGTAAAACGTCTTATCTGCTGGGGTGAGAGTCAGGTGTGTTTGGAGAGATGATAGGAGGTATTTAGTATTAAATATTTGATGTAATTAGCTGATACTGCCCTGTGCTGAAGGCGGCTTAGATATGTTGTTATCTGAGTTATGTAGTAGGGTAGCCTGGAGGGAGTGTGGTGAGTGGTAGGGATGAAAGGGCAGTTTGATGGGCTACCATGCTGGCACAATTATTGCCTTTACTGACAATGGCAGGATCAGTCTGATGTGCCTTGTGATGAGTCAAGCCAATTTGAGAGGGTAAAGGAGAAGCCTAGGTGAGGTTATGGATATGTGAAGAGTTAGTAATTGAGTTGTATTTGGTGTCCTTAAATCCTCATTCCTTCCAGATGGCTGAATGTGTTAGCAAGATATGGAAAGCATATTTAGAATCTGTATACACCATTAATGATGTATTTGGAAGGCACTGGTGAGGGCTATTAATTCTGCCTGTTGGTTGGTGTGGAGAGTGGTAAGGAGGTCCCCTCAATGATGGCATTATCTGAGACCACTGCAGATCTTGGAACATGGTGACCATCTGACAGGAAGTAGCTGTCATCTGTATAAAAAGTGTAGGCAGAAGTAGCTAGAGGACCCTCTTGTATGTGAGAGGGATGAGGGAGATTTTCAAGAGTCTCTGGACAGGAGTGAAAAGGGTCTGGAGAATGTTGTAGTAAAGGGCTAAGTATGGAGGGATTGAGGGGAGGACAGGTAAGAGATGTGAGTGATGAGCTTTTAATAAGAGAAAATTGGAGGGATAGAATCTGAGATAGTAGGAGGGATTGGACTCCTTTGTAAATTAGGAGTTAAGAAAGAGAGAGTGGTGGGAATAGATTGTTAGGGGGATCCCAGAATTAATGTTTTAGGATTTAGAGATGAGCAGAGAGGCTGTGGCAAGAGTGTGCAGACAGGGAGGCCAGCCATAAATAGTGTTGTCTAGAAATTTGGAGAGGTAAGTGACAGGGGCAAAGGTCAGAATGGAGAGAGTAGATTCCCTTTGCTAGTGGTGACCAGGAGCCAGAGTTGAAAGCTGAGCCCCAGGGGTCTCAAGTGGACAACAGAGAGGTCTCTGAGAGGGAAGGATCATCACCCAACCCCCTACAAGAGAGGGGCAGGATTTTCAGAAGGTTAGAAACAGACATCGGATTCCAGCAGAGAGGCCACCAAAATTGAAAGGAAAATAAGCTGAGCTGAATGGAATGTACCTGATAGCTGTCTAAGGAAGTTCCACTATGGCCACTGAGGGCTGTGGCAGGATGCATTCTTCCCACCACCACAAGACAGAGTGGGGGGTGGGGCAGGTGCCAGACACTCAGCAATCATCACCCAGTGTCTCAGGGAATGTTTTAGGATGGGAACACTCACCAATTAGCACTGCTGGATGAAGTGAACAGGCACCGGCTGGTCAGCAAAGTGGGAGAACTGGGTTGGGGCTCCTATAGACAGATCTAAGTCATGGTCCATGTCTCAGCAGCAATGTAAGGGGTTGAAACAGCCCCCAGCCCAGTCAGCCATG